TATAGATTGTTATCACTAGTTTGTTATTAATTCCTGATTTTGTACAATGATGTAGATTACTATCACTAGTTGGTTATCAAATCCTGATTTTGTACAATGATGTAGATTCTTGTCACTAGTTGGTTATCAAATCCTGATGTTGTAGAAAGATGTAGATTACTATCACTAGTTAGTTATCAAATCCTGACGTTGTAGAAATATGTAGATTCTTATCACTAGTTGGTTATCAAATCCTGATGTTGTAGAAAGATGTAGATTGTTATCACTAGTTGGTTTTCAAATCCTGATGTTGTAGAAAGATGTAGATTCTTATCATTAGTTGGGAAATCAAATCCTGATTTTATACAATGATGTAGATTATTATCACTAGTTGTTTATCAAATCCTGATGTTGGAGAAACACATATATATAGCTATAATTAGTTGGTTATCAAATCCTAATGTCGAAGAAGCATATAGATACCTATGACTAGTTGGTTATCAATCCTGATGTTGTAGAAATATATAAATTGTTATCACTAGTTAGTTGATCTAAGAAAGATATGGATTGACAGGTGAAAGTGGATATATCTACTAAAACATTCCAAATTTTATTCTAAGTGGGATCTTCACTATGTAAAAGTTTGTACGTACCTAGGCTACTGCACTCAGTCTCGAGTTAAAAGAGATTGGTTGAAGATATCACCACTTAAAACTTCTTTATCTACGAAACAAACTGATGCTCACAACAAAATATCAGTCTTAGTGTTGTGGATATCATATTAATTCTATGTAGTTGAGCTTATCTATTGCTGAGAGTTTAAACTTAATTACATTTGCTTTTGAGGAATATCACATTCTTAGCTAAATCACTGCTTGTTATGGTATTCCTTAACGAGAAATTATAGAATAGGACGTTATTTAGATTTCCAAATGATATCTATAAGTATTCGCCTTTGCTTTCGTGCTTCACGTATTCTAATTTCGGATATTTTAGAGATTTTGATTGTTCTAAACATCCAACTTTTAACCCCTAAGCGCAAAACTTTCTAAAGGTGTTAAACATGCAACATATGTGATGTTCAACATGCAGCGTGTGGCGTTCAAGTCGTGTGTAAATGTTGTGACTCAGAATTTCATCTTTAACTTCTGCGTAACAAAATACTGACACTAAAATGTAAATATACTTTTATTGATATACTCAAGTCGATACTTTAGCCTCTCACCATAAAGATGTTTTGAGAAACAGTCTTTCTTCTAGCTATAAATCCCAGAGACATGTTTTATTCAGAAGGTTATTGCTCACATTGAACTATAACATGTATATTTCATAATAAAGAAAGTGTGACAACGTTATGCGCTTTGCAAGATCAGTACAATGATAAGTATATATTCAAGTTGAACTCTGGTTATGACACTGAAGAATAGTCAACAGTTGAAATACCACTTACCGGGTTTTGTACTCAGACATCACAAAACTAGCTCGATCATGAACTTCCTTCCAGTATATTCGGGTGAATGTACATTTTACACTTGTTACAGCGTTATATTGCAAAGTTAACTTATAAATTACTGTATAATACTATATGCTTGTCGGTGTTTTCAGGATAAGCTTGAACAACGGGAAAAAATCCTCAAGAGGCAAATTCTGGAAGTACTTAAGTAGAATTAAACTTGATATTGTCTTGGGGACTTTGTAAAGTGTAGTCTTCATGTGATTAAATCCTAGTAAATTCAACAATAGAATTTATTGTTGGTTTAATTGTTCGTTTTGTATCACTTACAACATCAGTTTCTTCGACATAAGCTATTCAGCAGTGTTTAAGAAATGCAAACATCCAAGTGCTTACAAACGTGAATCTATTGAGTTGATACCGAATTCTTGTGTGTTACAAATTCATTGTTTGGATGGAAACTGTCAACTCTTCTTATAACTGTGGTCATTGCATGCTAGGTGTTTTACGCTACCCAGATTAATATCATTAAATTACGACTTCTGGTGGAAATAATTCCACTGATTTTATTTAAATTAATTCTCAATTAAACAGCCACTATAATTACGAATAATGTATTTTTGTAACACCCATTAAATATATTCAATCAGCTATGTCCTGAGTGAGTATATGTATTCCAAAAAAAAAGAGTAACCCAAGAGTTGGCGGTGGGTGGTGACGACTAGCTGCCTTCTCTCTAGTCTTACACTACTAAATTAGGGACGGCTAGCGCAGATAGCCCTCGTGTAGCTTTGCGCAAAAATTCAAAAACAAAACGTATTCCAGAAAGACAATATGCGAGGAGAAATGCTGAAGAAATACAAGAAATCATTTATATCCACAGATCTGTCGCCAGTCAACTGATACACGGAGAATACAACAAATCATTTATATCCACAGATCTGTCGCCAGTCAACTGATACACGGAGAATACAACAAATCATTTATATCCACAGATCTGTCGCCAGTCAACTGATACACGGAGAATCAGTAACAGCAGAAGCTTTTGACACCGTCACTATTTATTTCAGCGATATTGTGGGTTTTACTGAACTTTCGGCTGAGAGTACGCCAATGCAGGTATGTAAGCACTTTTATCAGGAAAATAGATTTTGAAGTTATACGTCATTTAGAACTAAATTGAGCTAGTTATTTTGGTTTATATTTTAAATAAGAAATCCACACTTAATTCCGCTTTTTCTTCTTTTTTGTTAAGGTTTCTGAAATCCGCAATGTTAAGAATATGCTTTAAAAAAAAAGGGAGCTTTGTTAATAAAATACAATCTTGGAGGTTCTAAAACGTTATTAGTCCCTCATGTCAAAGGTTTTTTGTCAGATGGAAGCCTTTTAGTGCGGCAAGTGTTTTTGTATCAGAAATTGTCTTTCTAATGATTTCATTTAGTGTCATCTTGGGCAAAAGCAACACGAAATTAATGAACATTTGATGAAAGTCACTGTGCTCTTCTATAACGCGGGTAATACTCTGAAAGATTTTGCTCAACATTAAACTTTGAACACGCTGAAAATTTTAAGCTAGCCTTAAGAAAATCGCATTTCCTTGCTCATATTGCTGTGAATTACATTAAGTCTCCAACTGTACTCTGTTTGAACTAAAAATATATCCTCAAACTCTATATAAACTTGTTATATCAAAGTCCAGCAGAAATGAAGTCAATGGAAAAGTAAAACAAACTTGTCTTTTGCTTGACTTGCTTCGCCTTCTTTAAGATTACGTATTGAAAAGTCTGTATTTGGTATAAAAATCTACATTATATAGAGTATTTTATCACAATAAATATTTAACTGTCTTTACGTAGATGCACAGTTTAATGTGTATGTTACGTTTTCCTGAAAGTATTGTTCACTGACTGAGTAGGGAGATCCCACATTAAAAAATAGACCATTATTTAGGCTCTTCTTCAAGTTGTAACGTGTTCGATGTTCCTTTTAACACTCATTATCATCATTTCATAATTTTGGGTTAGAAAACGTTTCTACTGTTTTTTGACAACGTGTTATTTTTTGTTAACTGTGATATGAAATACATTTAATTCAGTATTAACTATGTACTAAATCGATTTGAATATGAATAATCGTTTTCATTTGGTTTCACTGGAAACTATATCACTACTTAATGCTCCCCTCGAAACAAGCTGAAACGTTCTCTATTATACCAAATATTTTAATGTTTTATCATTTATTTTTCAACTGAAATAGACAAGTAATTGAAAATAACTTCTAATCACCGAGATGTAGGTACTAAAATCAATTGTATTCTTCATATACTAACATTGCCAAAACAAATAATCTGTAAATTGCAATTAAATGTTTTTGTTTTGTTTTTTACGTGGCAAAATACAGGTCGTAGATCTTCTGAACGACTTGTACACGTGCTTTGACTCCATCATAGAAAACTTCGATGTGTATAAGGTACGTTATGTTTTCAGTATCAAATATGTTGTACAGTTACACACACACACACAAAAAAAAACACGTAATAGAACATCGTCGAAGAAACTTGAACATGTTTGAAAAACGAATGTTTGATAAAGAATAACGGTAACTATTTACTCAGATATTATAAAACTATTAATATACTTAACCATATGTTTCCCAGATGTATTTTTTTTTCTTATATTTTATTTCCTAAATAGGTAGATAGTTTAATTATCACTGTTATGAATTGTTTGTCAAATCATTCTTATGTATCTTTTAAATGAGTAGGTTGAAACAATTGGAGACGCATACATGGTTGTATCGGGATTACCCGTTCGTAACGGAACCTTTCATGCCCGAGAAATAGCCCGGATGTCGATAGCTTTGCGAAATACTGTGATGTCATTTACGATACGTCACAGAACAAACGAACAACTGAAGTTGAGAATAGGAATTCATACAGGTCAGTAGAAATATTTTATGTAAATCTTATATATACATAAATTTCAACTGTGAAATAAGGAAACTGTATAAAAGTACACGGGATATCAGGGTATTTTGGGGTTTTTTAGTCCGTAAAAAAAACCCGAACAAATGGAAAGACCAACATCAGAATTTTTTTTATCACTGACTTCGAGTACAGTTGTTATTTTTGGTACTAAATATATCTTCGTCTAACTTTATGTAAAGTAATATGTTAAACCTATTATATCTCATACTACATACGACTGCACATTCGGGATGAGACAAGTTTTACTCATGTTGGCCAGCAAGTGTATTTCTATATAAGATACAACGTTTTTTTTCCAATTAGAAAAATAAAATAATTGAATAATTATCTTCTAAATTCATTGTAAAGTGAAGTTATTTAATTGTAATTTCTTTATATCTGTAATAAAATACTCTTAACGGAGGTGGACATAATTAACTGGTGGGCAGTATACTTAAAGTCTTAGAACAGAACGCGGGTAGAACAGGTAATCACTGTTTGCGTAACATTATTACGCCAAAATACTTAGATGCTGAAAACTAATTCAAACTTTTTGTTAATTGGCAGCGACATCTCTGAGAGATGTAGCTTAATTTCAATTATCATAGCTTTTGTTATTTTTTTTATAAAATAATAGCATTGTAATAATCATAAGTTAGGGACTGTTGTACTTTTGACCATAAATACAGTGTTGCTTTGACTGTAACAATCTCGTTGATATTCTATCAGATCTATCACATGCCTATGTTCATAATCATAGTTCCAGAAAATGAAATTCCATCTCAAATGAAATTAAACAGGCATCACCAGTACTCAATCACGTTTCCTTGGACACAGGGTACAACACAAACCCACGTGACGTGCGTCAAATATTATTCCACTGAATAAAAATACCATGCACCTGTGAAATGACTTATTTTAATAATGTTACAAATATGTTATGGTTTTTCCTTAAAACTCTTGTTGAATGTTTTATAAGGCCTTTAATTTTTGAAATTTACTACCACGCTTTTATAAAGTGCTTCAGTGTTAATGAAACTTTGTGATAATAATTTCCAAGTGTCATACACTTGCTGCTTCAAAACACTCTATCTTTTTTAATCAAAATCTCTCCTGAATAAAACCTAGGATAATACTATTATTATTAATAATTATTAAGTATTTGCCATTAGATATAATTGGAACTCAGTAACGTAAAACATTTAAGATAACATTTATTTGTTAAGTTAATGTGTTCTGATTATCTATATATATAGCACAAAAATCTGTGTGTCTGTCTGTTTGTCCGTTATCTAACTAATCCTAGGTCGCTAGGCCAATCTCAACCAAACTTTGTTGGATGATAGTTTGAAACAAAGGATATGTTAATGGAGGTTCACAACCCCTCCATCCACCATTATTGTTGTTATTCAGCATTTATTATATTCGACGTAAGTTAACGTTAACCACATTCATAGATGACGCCACGACCATATACCAAAAATAAAAATTTTATTACATTTTCTATAACTTGGCCAATGACCGTCAATTAATTAATCACGTGAAGACAAAATGAACACATGGCCACTTAGTTCCACAGTGTTTCACTATTAACTCAAAGAGGTCGCACGTTGCTTCTTCCCTCGACAGTAATTGTAAGTAAATGGTATAATATATATCTGTGTATATAAAAAAGTAGTGTTTCTTTGTAGTTTCCAAAACACTCAACTTTGTGAAGTGCACACTCAAAACTAGCACTCTTACCTAAGTGTGTCAAGAAGAACCGTTTATTGAGTTATAAACACTTCCTACTTTGACCCGTGACCTTACAACGTCATCCTGTAAGACACTTCAGCGACCAATGACCGTCAATTAATTAATAACTTAAATCAGTATGGAAGGACATTAAGAAATGGTTGTTGAAAGCGAGTAAGAGAAAGCCACACTAACGTCACTACTGTTGCCACTACCTCTTCGTACAAAGTCACTCTGACAATGGCACGGTGTAATACTATGTTTTAAGTATATACATAGTGCTTAAAATCATTAACTGACGACAGGCGACCGTGGTCACTAGGAAACAAGGATACGAAAAGCCATTAAAGTTCAAATAAATAAGTAATTGCAAATAACTTCTATTCACCGAGACACCTATCTTCTTTATTTACTATAAGAAATAAAACAAATAATATCACCGCTTCTTCCCTGGTAGGGTTTGCTCTTATAATTGATAAATCCCATTTGGAACACCGAGAGTATCACAAAAGATAGCTAGACAAATGTAGATAAAAAGTTGTTAGATAATTATTCATTCTATTCAACGTTTTCAGTATATTGAGTGTCCTTAGCAATATGAGTATGTTGAATTATCGTATGATTTATTATTCTTATTTTATAAAACTGTTTCCAGTCATTAGATAGGAAACATATTTTAATTACTTTGCCATTTCTGTCGTACCAAAAAAAAAATGTTTTCTGAACACGTTTTTTTTGTTTTTTTGCAAAACTGTATACTAAATGAACTTGCTTATCTTAACAATGTTCAGGATGTCGTTATATTATCCTGTATTGTTGTTGTTGTTGTTAGACAAAATGTGTTGCAAAGATTGAACTGCCTTTTTCAAACAAAACATTCAAATGTACACTATCGCATCATTTGCCCAATTGAATGTGCACGAATTTGCTAACGTTCTGGCAAATAATGACCTTCTATCTTTAAAAACCATATTTAGCCTTATTTGTTTTACATGCTTTTAAGTTTCGGAGCAGATTTGTGATTTCCTTTACAAAGTATCTAAGACTTTAAGCTAGAGGTCAAGGCACGAGAGTGTTGCATATATAGAACTGTGCAGATCTACATAGTGATTGTGAGTAAAAGTTTGGGCTACTCTTTAAAGAGTCAATCTATTGGCAAATTTTTCTATATTTGACAAACACGTGATTGTTTTATATCATCTACATCCTCTGAATTTCGTAAAAGTCGTTCGTCTCTAAGTTCAGTATGATGTTAAAGCAACACATCTATTAAAGCGATTCCATCCTAGAAGCTGTATTTACTGTGTCTCCAAACAGACAATACCTTGGCATTTTCAATCCAACTACACCTGCAGCACACGGACCTACAATTGTAAATTATTCACATATAATGTTTCACTACTAGAACTTCTAATTCGATGAAAATGCTTATTCAGATATATTTGTTTTAGAGCATTATGTTACTAACGTAAAGTTGTTCATTTGGGAGCTACAAAATGAACAAGAGCACACTCGGTTCTCTTAAATATATTATTTTATAGCAATTCAAAACCACATAAAGTTGTTCATCTGGGAGCTACAAAATGAACAAGAGCACACTCGGTTCTCTTAAATATATTATTTTATAGCAATTCAAACCACAAGGGCAATAATAAGTCAACAGGACTACGTATGTACAGTTTTTATCACTTAATATAACAAGAGATACATTGAAAACAATACGTGGAAATTGGTTAGAATTATATATTTATAATAATTTGAGAATTTTGTGAGTTTGGTTTCTTTGTTGTTAAGCATAAAGCTACACGATTGGCTATCTGTTCTATGCCCATCATGGGTATCGAAACCCGAGTTTTAGCCCTGTAAACCTGCAGACTTGCCTCTGAACCACTGAGGGAGGGGGAATTGTGTAAGTCCTGTAAATCTTAAAAATAGAAGTAGATTAGAATAAAGCTTTTGGAAGTTTCAAATTAACCTAGTTCTGGTATTTTAATAGTTTCATGCAAAAGCTCCATCTACTTATATACTTTGTTATTGTTCTGTCTGTCCGTCAAAACAGATATATAGCAATCATATTTAATCACATAAAATTGAGGTTGTGAAAATATTCTGATCAAGATACTTTCAAAAAATAAGAGAATGACGTTTTTACTCCCATTTTTGGAAGCCTTTTAATATGAATTTTATTGACAGTTTTTCTATTGCTTTGTATATATTATATGTATATATAAGTGTAACATAGCTCATGGTATAATATTACATGGTTTCTTGATCTTATATAATAGTTGAACTGTTTTGTTAGTAATTTCCACTTTATTATTAATAACTAAAAAATTGGCAATGCAAACCCATAGATATTCTCTGAAACATTTGATAATCAAGAGTGAACAGAAGACGTGCTTAAAATTTAAATAACAATAAAAAAGTATATTTTAGTGTCTGTAAGTATTATATGTTACAAATTCTATAATATTCTTTCTTAAAATGCTAATTAAGTACTACTTTCTTGCCATATTTTCGAGTGTATTTGTAATGCAGCGGGTGAAATCTTATATAGAATGAACTAGTTAGATGTTCGTAATCGATCTTCCATTTCACGCCAAGAAGAATATGATCCAAAGATAGTTTTGGAACTTTTTGAAACTTCATATCAAACAGATCAATAAAGTATACTGAGTACGTCATCTCTGTGTTCCATTTCTGTAGTTAGATAAAATGTGAGTATTTTTCTGGGTCATTGCATTAAAAAAAACTGTTCCTTATATTTGTCTGATATTTTCTAAATTGAAGGTGTAAATTTTTAATAACTTGCTGCTGAGATTTTTCTGGGAAATCTAGTACAAAGGCAGATATTAATATCTGGCAGCAGCTTTAAGGCAGCAGTTTGTTACCTGTTTACAACATGGAATCTGTGATCAAACTCCTATAATAATGGAGTTTTTAAAGTTATTCGGCTTATTTTATTTACATATTTTCCTATGTAATTTATACTAAAACTAAAAAAACACCTTATTCAACAAAGTATCTGAAGTTACAGTTTAATTGGCGTATTTAAACGATCTAAATTATAAAAAATAATATCTTCCTATAATTTGTTCATTTTTAGCCGCGGCTTTTGATGTTTTGAATTTTGCGCAAAGCTACACGAGGGCTATATGCGCTAGTCGTCACTAATTTAGCAGTGTAAGCCTAGAGGGAATGAAGCTAGTCATCACCAGCCACCGCCAACTCTTGGGCTACTCTTTTACCAACGAAGAGTGGAATTGACCGTCACATTATAATACTCCCACGGCTGAAAGGGCAAGCATGTTTGGTGTAACGGGGATTCGAACCCGTGACCCGCAGACTGCGAGTCGAGTGCCCTAACCATTTTGCCGCGGCATTGTGGCTCATAAAATGGCTCTTTTTTTTTTAGCTCATAGCTCCGTCATCTTTTGATCGATTTGAGATCTAATTACAGTTTTAAACCCAAAAGGGCAAACCCTATTGACTGATGTATTTGAACACGGTCTCATAGATTAACTTACCCTAATCCTGCCTGAAACAATTTCAATTTGAGGGTAGGCTGTTAGAGATCCTGGTGAGTAATGACATTGAATCGGGTATACGTGCGCATAAAAATATAGCTAATAAAAAGAAGAAAAAGAAAAAGGTCTCTTAGATTAATTTACTGTAATCCTGCCTAAAAGGATTTCAAGTGCCGCGATTATTGAGGATTCCCTCTTAATTTTACTTTTAACGCATACCAAAAAGTGACTGATTCGTTGTCGCTTATGCTTCATAAGTTAAAGTAATCAAGTTAAACATAAGCGATTAGTTTTGCATATTTTAGGAATCTTGTGGTGTTGTGTTGATTTTTAATTGTTAAGTTTCAAGCAAAAAATAATAAGGATACTAATCACTTATTTTTACAGTTATTATAATAACATTATAATAATATTCATAGTATTCGTTACATAGTTTGAATTATTTGGGTTATCATTATAACCATATGTGTGTAAATAACTTACTCCCTTGTCAGGAAATGTTTATCTTATGAATAAATAATACTGGGACTCGCGACTGAATTAAAACATATTTGTCAGCGTTTCAGGCGGACATTATTTATCAGTCTTGACTGTCTTACTGCAGTGCTGGGCTGACAAGCAGAAAGTAAATGAACAAAAAAGCTGGTCTTTCTTTTGCTAATCTGTTCAATGATGAAAGCACGTATTCTACTTTCACCTTGCGTAGACCAAACTTTAAGTACTGAAGCTTAAGTTGGACATTCATTAACTGTACTCAGCATTTTCAGACAGCTCTCAAATACCGTTACAATGTTTCAGGCACATTTTTTTCTTTCCTTTACAATAACGTCGACAAGCAGGGTACTTCCGTAAAACTTCAGTGCACTGCAGAGTCAGTAACTTACTTAGATTACCATTCCTTTCACCACATCAGAAATAAATAACACCGTCTGTAAAGGAGAGAATAGTTTAAGCTACACTACACTACACCAATAGAATAGACTAAGATGTCAACAGGAAAGCTACTGAGCTAAGATCTCAACGGGAAAGCTACTGAGCTAAGATCTCAACAGGAAAGCTACTGAGTTAAGTTCTCAACGGGAAAGCTACTGAGCTAAAATCTCAACAGGAAAGCTACTGAGTTAAGTTCTCAACGGGAAAGCTACTGAGCTAAGATCTCAACAGGAAAGCTACTGAGTTAAGTTCTCAACGGGAAAGCTACTGAGCTAAGATCTCAACAGGAATCTACTGAGCTAAGATCTCAACAGGAAAGCTACTGAGTTAAGATCTCAACAGGAAAGCTACTGAGTTAAGATCTCAACATGAAAGCTACTGAGTTACGTTCTCAACAGGAAAGCTACTGAGCTAACATCTCAACAGGATAGCTACTGAGCTAACATCTCAACAGGAGAGCTACTGAGCTACGATCTCAACAGGAATCTACTGAGCTAAGATCTCAACAGGAAAGCTACTGAGTTAAGATCTCAACAGGAAAGCTACTGACCTAAGATCTCAACAGGAATCTACTGAGCTAAGATCTCAACAGGAAAGCTACTGAGATGAAAGCTTTTTAGTTGACGTTATCAACGTCACCTGCGGACCTCACTTAAAAAAATCGAATTGAACACATCTATTGTCACATTAATATCCCACCGTTTGAAAAGGATCGTAACAGATAATGATACTAAGAAATTATAACTAATTAACAATTGTTACATCATTATCGACATATTCATTACGTGCTCGAATGTGTATTCAAAGTTCTATGGCTCGCCCTGAGTTACCAGCAACAACAAAACATCGCACTCTGCACTCTGAGGCCTTGAGTGCATTCTGTGAGTGACGGTCAAATATCACTATTCGACTAGAAGTAACTCACCAGTTGGCGATGGGTGTTGTTGACCAGCTGCCTTCCCTCTATTGTATCATTTCAAAGATAAAGACTTAGTGCAGATAGCTCTCGAGTGGCTGAGCACGAAAATAAACAAACAACAACATATTCGTCACACCATCTTGGATCTTCATGGATGCAACCAAATTCTTAAAGACAGAAATAGAAAATGTAAAACTTATTTCGTCTTGTATTAGAATTCAATCATATTTTTCAAGACTTTTTTACGTACTGTCATTTTTCTCATAAGTGTAACTTATTTTTGAGTTTGTCCGCGCAAAAATTACAATCAAAACCCATTGACTCTTAATTAATTGTGTTTATTATGATTGTGAAATAATAACATTCGAACGTATTATTACACATTATCAAATATATACTTTATTACCTGAAATATTTGACAACTTCATTCTGCTACAAATACCTAATAATCGTCACATTATTAAAGTAAAAATACCTTTATTGATTTGCATCTACTATTAATCCAGGGGAAAAAAACAGTAAACCTGCATACGTGCTCCCAATCTGTAAAAAAAGTCTGCGGAGTTACAACGCTAGAATCCGGGTTTTGATACCCGTGGTGGGCATAGCACAGGTAGCCCATTGTGTAGATTTGTGCTTAATTACAAACAAACAAACCACATAAGGATTACGGATACTGCGTTTCAATTTGGCAAATTAACTATGTTATCCTTTAAACAAATAGAATCGTTTTTAGTTCTCATCAGAAGAATGGTCAAATTATATTAATTTAGGTTCTGAGTAAATTAACATGTTTACTGTTTTGATTGATTTTAGTAGGTAAGTCAACGTGAAAGTTTTGGATTAACTGGATAAAAACTCATTTTTATTAAGGATGGTTAGATACAAGACAGAAGCCTTCGAAAAATGTAAATATGCATCAATTCTATGATTTTTCATCGTTGTACTGCTCTTCAGTGACAAAAGTCGGAATAACAAAATTGAATCCAAAATTAAAGTTTGGCGCAGCTGCATCAGACGGTACACAATAAGACAACATTTCTCACGAGACGCACGCCCAGGTGGTTAGGGCGCTCCACTCGCAATCTGAGGGTTGCGGGTTCGAATTCCCGTTCCACCAAACATGCTCGTGGGGGCGTTATAATATTACGGTCAATCCCACTATTCGTTGGTAAACGAATAGCCCAAGAGTTGGCGGTTGGTGGTGATGACTAGCTGCCTTCCCTCTAGTCTTACACTGCTAAATTAGGGACGGCTAGCGCAGATAGCTCTCGTGTAGCTTTGCGCGAA